CTTACTTACTTACTTACTTCTTCTCTCTCTCTCTCTCTCTCTCTCTCTCTCTCTCTCTCTCTCTCTCTCTCTCTCTCTCTCTCTCTCTCTCTCCTTTCTTTGAATGTTGCCTGTGTGTTTTTTTGTATTCTCCTATTTCATTCTTTCTAGTTACGATTTATTATTACACTTGAACAATTCTTGTACATAAAAATTTGAATTATTTAATTAAATAAAAGATCTATTAAATTATTTTGATTAGATATTTTTTTCTCATTGAACAGAAAAATTATCTACGTGTTATGTTCTGTTTATATCCAAGTTTCTTATATATTATTATTTTCTACAGGATCGTGTTTGTAACGCTTGATTTCACTTGTCTTAATGAGAAAAATATTGAATGTTCCTGGCATCTGCCGGAAAAAGACAGAACATACGATCAAAGACATGTCTGATAAATGAGCACACATTTGTTTAGCTACCTTTTTAAAAATCTGTTTAACATGCATAGTTCAGTTCAAAGAAAGCAATTGCAAAATTGCATTAAGAGCCGAATTTTATATATGGTAATAACATTTTTTAATAATAACGTACATATGTGTTTGTTTATTATTAGTTATATAATCATAGTTTTGTTATTTAGAGATAAATTCTTTTTCCGAATGCGTACGAGATTAAAATTCGTATCAGCCCGCTGTGTGATATAACGATTTGATTGCAATTAATAGCCTCCGGCTGCGTTACGGTCGGTTAATTGTCGGAGAAAGATTAATGGCGTGAAATCACGCCACTACCAGTAAATTGTTCGAAACCAATTCTTATATCAGTGCGCATCTTCTTAAACTTTTATTTAATAGAATTTTTAGCAAGGAAACGATATATTTACCTGTAAAATGCAATAAGACATAGTAAATATTTCAAATGTTTTTATTTGGGATAAAATTATATAAAGCTTGATTATATCTGATCATATCTTAAGTTTTGCAAGCAATGTGATCAACAATCCTATATAGCATTTCTGCAAATGTATTTTTTATCGTTCGTAAAAGATATGTAAATTAATCGACTCAAGACACACGCACGTAGATATAATTTAGCTAAGCTACGATAGATCATACTTATATGATTTGAATGTGATTGCAATCTTTTAATCTAATAAGCGATTACGGAATGATACTCTGTCTCATCTCAATTTTGCTCATCTGACAATCAATGAAAGACTGTAGTCTAACATTTTTAATGTGTGCCTTGGACAATAATAAATAATTTTTAATTATACGCATATTACAATGCAGCACTATAATTAATGAAGCGGAAATAAATATCGTAACATTGCTCTATTTCCACAAAACAAGCGTCAGCGCAAATTATATGTTTTCACATATCATGACAGTATTTTCTGCATTATAAACTTACGAGAAAAAGAAATTTTTCTCAATAAGTTTCGTTTTAGTTTCGAGTTATAATATCAAGAATATACCAAAATTAGGGGTAATAATTTTAGCGTATAACATATTGTGAAGCAATTAGGATAATTTCGCCATTACGAAATAAGCCTGCATTAATATTAAAGTGTGATTTATAACAGCAACCTGCGTTATCCGATGAGAAGAATTAGATTCTACCTTACCATCAACCATAACGCATTGATGAGCGTCATGGAAGATCCGGATACGAGGGAAGATACGCCTTGATCCGCGGCAGATTCCAGATTGCTTTGGCGATTATGCTTCGATTCGAGATTTACGGACGAGCGAAGCCGTTCAGGACGCATCGCCGTTTATTTATAGTTATGAATCACTTATTGCAACCGCTCGCTTATTTTCTTCTTTCTTTCTTTCTCTTCCTGGCCTTTCCTCTCTGGCCTACCTCCTCATCGACCGCACACGTAAGTGCACTTTTAACTCCCGACATCGAAGACGACCA